TACGGTACTATAGGCGGCCTCTTCATCTTCACGGGTGCATTATTGGAATAATCAAATCTATGGTGAGAAATGAAATTTTCAGATAGGATTCCGAGAAAATCTACTTTGATTTCATGAGGATATAAAAGAGTTTGTAGACGTACCCCCCCCCCCCCCCCTTAACTTTGCAGTAAGGTCGTTGCAAACTGACGCGCTATGGCATGATAGTCGTTGCAAACAGCGGCGCCTTTGGACAGCTGGTGGTGGTATCGGAAGATGCAGAAGCAGCAGCAGGCGAAGAAAGTTCTTCATGCACGCTGTCTCTGAATCTTCTCTGACAATTGGCACACGTTTGAGTATGGAATGGCGCAATTGATTCAGTGCATCCTTGCTCGCGTTTGAGTCCAGTCAATCAAAGTCTGTCCCCCAGCCGTAAGGATCCTACGACGTGTTGCTCCTCGCCAGCTTACATGTCGGTCACCGAAACCATGCGAGACCTCGCACGACAGGTTTTCACCTCTCTGGACAAGAATGGCGACGGCACGCTCACGGAAGATGAGCTTAAGCGGTAAGGAATGAGTGAGCAGCAGGAGCTTTGCGCTGTGAGATGGCCTGACGCTGCCTGACCACGCAGATGGCTGAGCTTCCAGTGCGACATGGGGGAGGAGGAGCAGGACGAGCTATGGCTGTCACGATGGGGGGAGAAAGAGGAGATTGAGTTCGAGGACTTCTTAGAAGCGGCGCAGGAGTACGACTGGCCACTGAAGGCAGGAAGGCAGGGCCCTGCGTTGGTACCTACGACATCAGCACCAGCACCAGCACCAATGGCAGAATCAGGAGGAGAGAGGGAGAAAGTTGACGAAGCGTTCAAGGAACTAGCTCGGAATACCTTCAACGCTCTGGACAAGAATGGCGACGGCACGCTCACGGAAGATGAGCTTAAGCGGTAAGGAATGAGTGAGCAGCAGGAGCTTTGCGCTGTGAGATGGCCTGACGCTGCCTGACCACGCAGATGGCTGAGCTTCCAGTGCGACATGGGGGAGGAGGAGCAGGACGAGCTATGGCTGTCACGATGGGGGGAGAAAGAGGAGATTGAGTTCGAGGACTTCTTAGAAGCAGCGCAGGAGTACGACTGGCCACTGAAGGCAGGAAGGCAGGGCCCTGCGTTGGTACCTACGACATCAGCACCAGCACCAGCACCAATGGCAGAATCAGGAGGAGAGAGGGAGAAAGTTGACGAAGCGTTCAAGGAACTAGCTCGGAATACCTTCAACGCTCTGGACAAGAATGGCGACGGCACGCTCACGGAAGATGAGCTTAAGCGGTAAGGAATGAGTGAGCAGCAGGAGCTTTGCGCTGTGAGATGGCCTGACGCTGCCTGACCACGCAGATGGCTGAGCTTCCAGTGCGACATGGGGGAGGAGGAGCAGGACGAGCTATGGCTGTCACGATGGGGGGAGAAAGAGGAGATTGAGTTCGAGGACTTCTTAGAAGCGGCGCAGGAGTACGACTGGCCACTGAAGGCAGGAAGGCAGGGCCCTGCGTTGGTTCCAAAAGAAGAACCAATCCCTGTACTGCGGCTGCTTGTTCAAGGAGCAGACTTTCTTCCCTGCGAATCACAGGTTGCATTTTTGGTCTACATCTGAGTGTGTTGGTTAATCAAGTTCTCATGAAAGGAAATTTACTTTTTTCGATCGTCTCAAAGTTCGCAGCAGCTCGGGCATGATCCATACATCCGAATCTCCTACAATGAGCAAAACTTGCGTACAAAAACCTCGGTGAGGTCGTCATGCGCCATTCTCTTTTGAATGATTTGTAAGATTATGAATTCGTCTCCTACCTGGAATGAAGTTTTCATCTTGGAGCATGTCAAAGGTCAAATTACCTCAAAACTGAACGTTTCCAGACTTGTTCAATGAATCTCTCAGGGACATCAATCAAATTCCAGCTTTTTCATGAAAGCAAGTCACTTGAAGAAAAGTTGGTGGGTGAAGCGATCTTGCAAGAAAATGTATTGGACAGGATCATGCATCGAGGTAATTTGTTTTTGATTGCAACGACTTATATCTTCCATGAGTAATTTCCGAAGGAGTTCACACAATGGAAGAGCACAGTTTGAATTTCAAAGATTTGTCTGGAACTATTTTGACAGGTTGATAGATTTCTTTCGGATAAAATCGGTTGATTTGTTTTTGAAGGGAAAGGGGGATTAGAGAGTATTCTGTATTGTCAACTTTACGTGACAGATCAAGGTAGCATGACAGCTGCTTTAGGAAGGTGATCATCCGGTTTCCAGTCTCATCCGACGACCCATCGGCAAGGCCAGCGAAAACGGAGAAAGATGTGAAATCAACGAGAGATTCTATCCGCAAGCCACACGTGTTCTCACTCCAGGATTTGGAAGAGAATCGAGTCTGGTGCTTCACGGAGCTTTCCTTTCTTGCTCGTTGAACGTGTGAGGACAGGAGTTGGCATTCTCGAGCTTCCAGGGCTCGAGGTCCATCAGAGCAGCCAGACACGTGAGGTGATATGTTGGGTCAGCCAGGGCTAAAGCTTGTGTTGAAGCTCCAAGAACACTCCACGCGACAGCAACTTGACTGTTGGAGGTCCAGACCGACTTTTTGCATTCGAGACGTAAGGATTTGAAAGAGATCTGCTATCAATGATTCAAACTTTTAAGACTTGAGAAGAGTGATTCTGAAAGAATTCTTGCTACTTTCGGATTGTTCGGAGATCGGGTGGTGTCGTTCTTTACCAAACTCGTGCAGCTGATGGTGGTGCTAGTTGAAAACTCTCAAGGCATGGTTCAGTAATGTCTCGCTGAAATTTGACAGCAGCAAAGTCTTGTACGCATCTGTTGCCTATCATGTCTTACTGTCATGATTTCAGGTTCCACGTAAACGTCTTGAATCAGAAATGGCCACACTGGGGCTGGAATCTCATATTCTGGTAAGGAACTTGTTCCAACAACAACCAGGGATCTTTTCTTATCAATCATGGCTTCAGTCCACATGGTTAGGAGATGTGAAGGATGACGAAGAGATCGATAGCCGGCTCTTCCTGTCTCTTCTCGCGAGAGAGCCGTCTTTTGCTGCGGGTAACTGAGAGCAAGAAAAGGCGATCAATCACAAGAATTTTTAGGTCTCGCTGACAAGCTGGAGAAACCACGGGTCAAACAGGCGTTGTGTGTCTGTTATTGCATTGACTGAAAATAGATGGATGAGGAGATGTCGAAAGAGTTAGAGCACTATAAGTGAAACTTCCTGCTTCTCATATCATCGTTGGTGAGAAATTGTGCAGGACAGGATTTGAAGTTCTGCAAGGATTGAACCTCGCTTCGATGACCAAGGAGAAACTCGATTGGATGGAGGTGGTTTCCGCCGCCTCCTCCATCCGCTGAGGCTGTTGGCAGCTGCGGCAAGAACTCTCTGACATCATCGAGACAAACAGCCACATACAGTCCAAGGTAGACATCTCAGAGCCATCAGACCAGGGGGAATGTGAGGTGGCGACTGCAGGTGAAGGAGAAGGAGGAAGAAGAGGTTCGAATCAAGTACGTCATTCGCCCGCACGTAAGCTTCTCTTTGTGCCATCGGCAACTCTCATACCTTTCAAGGCAAAGCTCTACGAGACCAAAGTCTCTCCTCCGGCCAGCACCAGGTACCGGCCATGCCCGGTGATCGGATTAATGTTTGCGTGAACCCTCATACAGACCTCCCTCGTTTGTCAATGGCAAGAGGGTCAAGATCTTTGAGGGCTGGGAACGGAGGGGACAGACAGCTTACAAGCAAACTGCATCTAGCACAGACGAGGACGAGGACGAGGACGATGAAAAAACTCATAAGCTTGATATCAAAAGCCGGTTGGTTGGTTTGTATTGCAACATGCACGAAGATAACACGTGATTGCAGCGTGTGGGTCGCTTGCAAAGACACTGTGGGAGCCGACGGCGACAACGGTAGCATGTGAAGGCGAATATATGACATGACAAAGTTGCAGCGGAGGCGCAGCAAGCTTTTCAAAGCATTCATCAATTTACCCAAGCAGGCGCAGGGTCTGCTTCTGCCTCTCTTCTCCTCTTCCCACTTTGTGTTGTAGGATGCTCCAAGCAGCTCTGCGACCCGGCGACTGGTACCTGAGTACTTCACTTGGCCCAGGTTGTCATGCCACCACCCACTCCTTTCGCTTGTTTGTGCACGCATCCCAACCTCCCTCGCATTTGGATGTGAATCACATCAAACTTAAGCTGACCAGCATCGTGCAGGTCTTCGCTTTCGATTGGACGGCGACACGTGAGAGGAGGGTTTGATTCGATTTAACCTGGTAAAGTTTCAAAGAACTTTGATTCTGCGCCATGTGGTGCCTCTAACATTCCATCAATGGAAGATGTCTTTGAACACGCAGCCCTGCCACCAACATATTTAGCGACAGCAAGAGAGGAGACCAACATGTTTAGCGACAGCAAGAGAGGAGGTCTGGGATACCTTGTCGTGTTCACGCATCAAGCTCTTGAGCTTCTTTGACAAGGCCTGTTCCCACTCAGAGCTTTCCTTTCACCTCTTCCTCTCCACACCTGCACTGCCTTGTCTTCGTTCCCCATGCTCTTCAGGGCCTCAAGATCCTGTACGTTTGTTCAGCGGCTAAACTAAGAGAAACGTCAAAGCCCTCTTTTACCTGCTCTGCTTCAACAAAGCGCTCGACCTCGATGTAAGCGCTTGCCTGCAACGTGATCAGATGAATGAGCTGAGTGACGCCAAGTCCAAGACTAAGAAGAGATACAAGGAGAGTGAAAGACGTACCCGACGGAAGAGCGCCTTAGGATGTGAGCTCTTGACCTTGAGTACGGCATTGCACTTGGCGATCGCTTCCTTCCAATTGTTGCGCTTTATCTCGCAGGCAGCCATGTTAAGCAGGCAAGAAATCTTGATTGCCTCTCCCTCTTGACGGGTCTCAGGGCTCTCCGAGCTGTCCGGCACTTCCAAGATCTGAGAAAGATGAGGTTGGAACATTCAACAACCAAAGGCACCTGATATGCAGCTGAATATCTCTGGTACGACCGCTGGAACTTCCCGATATTAAAAAAAGAATTTCCTGCATCCTTGATTTTGTTTGCAAACATAACTTTCTCTTCAGCTGTCATACTTTTCGTTTCTGCCTCCTTCCAATCCAGCAGGTGAACACGGTACTCGATCGCCTTGTTGGGGGGCACATCACCACCTCGACCTTCCTCTCCATATGCGTATGCTGGAGTGACATGCACCAGTGCACTTTGTCCCTTCACCATGTGCTGCAGTGCGCGCTCGAGGCCATCAGTGATGTCGAGGTCGAACTTTCCGATCTCAATCTCACGGCTGGTGAAAGACTCGAACTCCCTTGCTGCTCGTGGCCCATCACCTTCTACTGCTGTTGAGTACGTTGCCGAGCAGACGCAACCTTCGGTCGGTTTGCGAACCTCGAGGCCAGGTTTTGACAGGTACTCAACGAGGACGCCCTCGTCGTTAGTCAGATCCACAATAGGACGCACATCCACTATCTCAACCTCGTACTCCACTTTGGCCTCCCCTTTCACTTTGCGCTTGGAGTCCCCGTGTGGGCCGAAGGCATACTCATGGCTCAAAGTCACCCAGAACGTGCAGCCCTTCCACATCTCCCTCACTGCCACCTGCAGCCCTCTGGGTCTGATCCGCTTCACCTGCACACGCACAGGGCCCTCTCCTTCCCCGAACCCTTCGGATTCAAAGAAGCTGTCAGACTTCGCTTCGCGTCCTCTGTATCGCAGGTAGACCATGTCCAAATCTGTAGGCTTGTCTGTGGGCAGACTAGTTTGGATGGGCTTAATCATGATTCCTCCTTCCTTGAACACATCGTTAATCACTATCCAGCTTAATAGCTCCACTTCAAACTCAACGCCAGGCTCCTCCTCCACACTTGTCCCCAACAATTCTGCCTGACCCCGCAGGTAATGGCCCTTCACTGAAACTTTTGCTACTTCTCCCTTGCGCATGTCTCTGATCGCAATCTCCATTCCTCGACATAGTTGTTCTTCTCCGAGCATGTACCGACGGCACTGCTCCTCGAACAAAATTTCACCAGAAACCTTTCCCTGTATTCTGACTGCAACTTCACATGGCGGAAACGGTTTTTCCCACCCAGTTCCGGGAGTAATAATCTGCGAGAGGGATATCCTTCACACACTGAAAAAGCATAGCTTCAGTTGTACCGTTTTGACGACCGCACCATCAGGTGTCATACTCTTCGGATCACCTTGCCCGACTGCGGAGTCAAGTCAGAAAGACCATGACACGGCACTAGGTGCGTGAAGAAGCGGAAGACATGATGGTGAGGAGCAGGAATCACCCCAAAGCTTCTCGGTCGGGTCTAGAAGATCTTCCTCCCTCAAAACTTCTCCCTCCATCGGCAGATTCGACGGCCGATCCGTCGCCATTCTCGCTTGAGCGGTTAACAAGAATGGAGAACGAAGAGCATACGGACGTTAGAATCTATCTACACCTGCACATGTTGATCAGGATGACGGAAGACGTATTTTCATTCATGCGATGAGGATAGGGAATAGACGACATTCGACCACCAACGCAGTGGAGATTTGAGCATGGTCAAGAGAAACAAGAGAAAAGGAGAAGGATGGAAACATCGAAACCAAGACGTAGAACAAGCATCACAGGCATGAAAGGGCAAGTATCACACACATGAAGGAAGAATTGTCATGAGTTCAACAGCAAAGGAAATGGTTCGTCTAGTTATGAAGAAAAGGAGAAAACGGGGGGATACTCCTTGACATCCTTAGTGTTTGAGGCGATTTCAACATCCAAACATCATTTTTCTTTTTCAATTTCAGTCTTTGCCTGAGCATATTCGAAACTTTGTCCTCCAATGATACAAGGCAAACAACATACGACCCCCTACGACTGTCCAGATTCACCTCCCCAACCCTCATCTCCTCCTCTTGATCTCCGGGAAGTACTTCATGGATCTTCATCTCTACCTGAAATCCTTCCCTCCCCCTCTCTTCCACATCTTCTTTCCCCCCTCCCCCCCTCCCCTCCCTCCTCCCCCCAACCCGCTCCCGCCTCCCGCAGCATGATTCCTCCCGTCTTCTCGGTACTAAAATATTTCATTGAAAATCGATTAAAACACAGTAATGAAACATTTCAAATTAAACCGAATAATTTCGAAATATTTGCATTCCAGCATTTGTAAGGCAGTCAATTCAACGCTACATAAAACTATTTTAAGATCAACCGTACCCCTACACCCCTCCTCCTGACCCTACCCCATGAACAAAATACCCACCCGGTACATGTTATACCCCTACCCCATGTTTACTATCTATTTGCTTTGCCATATGACCCCCCAGACATCAAGTTTGTACCCCCCACCCACGAAAGTTTTCATCAGCCCCTGTTTTGCAATTCCACACCCTACCCTCTGTTTACTACTGCCTTCCCTCTATACACCCCATTCACCCAATCATTTAGTACCCCACCCCCTCCAAAAACTAGCCACCCCCTTGTTTTACCTATTTCAACCCCTCCTTTTAGCTTGTGGTTTCAATCTTGAGTACCCCTACCACCGAACCTCCACACTCGTCTACGTCTGGCCTTCTACCGACTCTTTCAGCCCCACCCCACTTTTCAGACCCCTCATATCACTGACATCACCCCACATTTTGATAGCATTTTTCTTGATTAGATATGGGTTATCTGATGACCCCACCCCCTCATTAAAGACACCAGGGCAAGACTGAAACGAAGTGCTTTCGAGAATCAGATGTCATGGTTGGGGTCATAGTGGGGATGTGGATCCCAGAGGTGGGTGGGTCATAGTGGGGATGTGGTCTAGTAGTTCAAAAATTATGCACGCCGACTGATAGACGCGGATCTTGCTCGTCCTCGTCGCTTCTCCTCCTCCCCTTCCTTCTTCTTTCTCAACTCTTCCTCCTTGATCCTCTTCTCTTAGCTATCACTTTTTTTTCTGTGCCCCCTCTTCTCTCCTTGGTCGACATTCTTTTCACCATCCTCTCTGCTATTTCCTCGCCACTGGACGTTGCTATCTTCTTTTCCCGTTCGCGCTCTTTCTTCAACATTTGTTGTTGCTACCTTTCAAAGATATAAGAGCAAATGACTCGCATATCCACGGTGGGAGAGTCACGGGTGAAAGGTGAAGCGGGTAGCAGCAATGCAAAACAATTGATAGATGCGATCAGCATAAATCTCAAGAAGGTGAAGAGCCAGGTTGAATGATGCGAGAATAACTTTGTTCTCAGGTTTCTGTGTCTGAATGCAGTCAAGCAGAGGCTGAACAGCTTCTAAAAGGGGCAGATGAAGCCTTGAACCAACTTCGATGTATGGAGAGTGGGCTTTCGTGGAAGCAGGGGGAAATAGAGAAACTCTATCACAATGTGATTCAAAAGTGTCTCGATAGACACGTGTACAAGCAGGCAGAAAGGCTTTCGAAGGATCTTCTCCTTCGGATCGAGACATGGAAATCCAAGAAGTTGAAAGTGGAAAAGGAAAACAGGCCTTCACAGTCAGGTCTGTCGTACCAAATTGCCAAGTTGTAACTCACGAGTGAAGGTGCAGGGTCTGATGTACGAGAAGTCATCCGACGTCTGCAGAGAAGTGCTGCAGGAGAGAAGAAACCCCTCAAGGATGATCTTGCGATCCTTGTTGGCAGCTTTCTCAACTTCGGGGCGGTGAGGCTCAACCACGGTTCAGCTGGCGAGAAGCGGGAAGACGCTCTTCAGGATGTCGTTCTCAGTTGCGGTGATGGCTGCATGTTGGTCTTGCAGAGACTGTTTGAAGTTGATGCGGCATACGCCACGAAGCTTGCTGTCTCCTTTCACCGTATCTTGAACAAGGCGGCGTCGTTGGCTGACGAGCCTCAAGCGGGGGGAGGGGCGTCGGACTCTAACAAGGCCCGATCATCGTGCCACTTACTGTCGCTGGAGCTGCGGAGGTTGGCGCTGTGCTACCTGATCTTGTCACAGAAAGTTTCGCTGCTCGAGGTAGTGAAGCAGGTCGTTAAGATCTCAAAGTTCTACGAGCAAAAGGTGCCCTCTCGGCTCTTGGCTTCGCATGCACAACTCCTGCACTGCTCCTCCTGTTCCTTGGCCCACGACCTCGGGGAGCACGATTCCTCCTTCCTTGCCGTTATGGACTGGTTTCTTGCCTTCCAAGCAGCTGTCGCCCGGGCATGCGATATCGATTCTCCTCGCGCAGCTCTCGAGAGCCTGGAGGGTTGTGACGTCCTGCCGGCTCTGGAGCAGCTCGTTGGGAGGTTGCAAGACAAGCGCGAGGAGCGGGAGAGAGTGTGGGATACGCTTGTCCGCCTCTTTGCCTTGATGAAGCAGATGCTCGTCTACGCGTCCACCTCGCAGGGCTTCGGAGACCTCAGATCACTCATCGCTTCTCTGCAGAAAGAGCTGGACAAGGTCAACTGGGCGGAAGTTTGTCACGAGTATGGGTCGATACTGGACAAGTATGTGAGGGGGATGGACAGCTTTCGCTCCTTGTGCTGTGCGCTCGTGATCAGTAAGAGGAAGGCTATGCGGGAGGGCGACGAAGCGTCGACGCTCGAGGCTTCCCTGCAGTCTCTCTTTCTGTCCTTCGCTGATGCAGCAGCGACTGGCCTAGGCCAGCAAGGCTCAGGTGCCTGATCCTTGCCCTCTCTCTCGAACCTCTGACCTCATCTGCTCGCTTCAGATGCATCGCTGCTCCCACGGCTTGTCGATGCTCTCATCTTCGTCCTGCAAGTCGATTCCTCGAGGTTCTCCCAGGCGCTCTCGGAGCGTGTCAAGTCCATCCTCCTCAAGCTTCCCGCAGCTCAGGTGCCTCTTAGCTGCTTCTTCCTTGTCTGACCTCGCGGTGCAGTCGCTTGCTCTGTCTTCTAGCGTCGTTCTCTACAACGCTGCCGTCGCCTCATACAATCAGGGATGCTTCACCGCTGCCCTCTCACCTCTTCAGCACTGCTGCTGCTCGCTAGTCTCCTGTCCCAGTCGTCTATCCTCCTCCGAGGCTCTTCTGACGGCCAAGAGGCAGCGCATGCTCGCCTTCTGCCTGCAGCGGACGGGAGACGCCTCCTCGGCCATGGCCAGCTTCGCCAGAGCCATGGTGCTGTTCAGCCTGGGGGGTGACCGAGCAGGCGCGAAGGCATGCGTGGAAGAGCAGCTGCTTCTGCGACTCTCGTGCGGCAGTGAGCAGGTGGGGGGATGCAGCATGCTCAACGTGTCGGGGTGGAGATGCTTGCTGGATCCCAACATGCAGCAGGAGCTGCTCGAGCTCGAGCTCACAGTTGCTGCTTCCTCCCGCCATCCTCCGTCCTCGCACATGCTGATGTTGTGCGAGGAGCTGCTCGACCTGCAGACCCTGCAAGGAGGAGACAAGGCGGGGGGCCGTGGAGTCATCCTTCTGGAGAAGGTCAAGATCCTGCATGCTTCCTGGCCGGCTGGGGAGACGGACGAGAGAGAACTCGCGAAGAAGGAGGAGGAGCTCCTGGAGGAGGGATTATCCCAGCTGGACAGCCACCTGCGCCTCCTGCTCTCCTCAGCTCCGCACTCAGCTGAGGTTCGGTCCATCGTTTGCCACGTGGCAGGGAGCCTCTGCTGGAGGGCAGCAGTGAGGGAGGAGGACTCGCTGAGCTTCGCGGGGGCGGCTGTGAGGTTGTGGGAGGCGCTGCTTGAGAGCCTGTCGCAGCTGGAGGGAGAGGGGGAGGGGGAGGGGGAGGGGGAGGGGGAGGGGGAATTTCTTCCTGCTGTCAGCGGCTCCTCCTTGCGTGTTTCCTTCTCCAGTGTCTGCGAGTCCATCGCGCTGCTGGGAGACGTTCTGACCTTCCGCGGCTACGAGGCGCTTGGGCGTCAAGTCTACTCGCTGCTGGCGAGGTTCGTAGCGGTGAGGAGGAGACTAGGCTGCCGTCAGGAGGAGAAGGAAGGAGAGCTGCTGGTCAAGCTTGCCGCTGAGAGCTGCCTGAGGGGCGACAAGCTCTTGGCACGCTCTCTCCTTCAAGACTCCAGCTCGAGCAGCTTGCGACCAGCAGCGAGGAGGCTTTTGGAGCTTGTACAAGTAGAAGCTACTGCTGCTGAGGAGGAGGAGGAGGGAGGGCAGGACTGCTCGGCCGATCCTCTTGCCGTGGAGCTGAACGATCGCAACCAGGAGGAGGTCGAGGCCCTCGCACGCGCTCTTTCCTCGAGCAGGTGGAGGCGAAACTGTCGAGGAGGAGAAGCTCAGCGGCAGGGGCTTAAGGGGCTCCACGCGCTCATGGGCAGCCTCAAGCTCCTCCTGCCGTCAGAACGAGCGACGGAGGAGGCGTCGGATCGAACGACCAGCGTGTTGGAGAAGGTGAGGGAGGAGCTGTGAGGAGAAGAGCTGACTCGTCGAGGCAGCTTGGCGTTTCCTCGCGACTTTTCAGTCTGAGCAGGTTTCGCCTCCTCGCGCGAGCAGCGGCGAGTCTGCGGCAGGTGGGCGAGACGCAGCTGGAGGGAGGGGCAGTGCGAGAATCCCGTTACTACCTCGAGCTGGGGATGGAGCTGGCGAGAAGCTGCAGGTCTGCGGCATGGCAGGTGAAGTTTGCGGCCTCGCAGGTAGAGCTGCTGGAGTCGCAGGGGGAGCGAGAGGAGGCAGACAAACTCCTTGCTGAGTCAATGGCGATGGTGGACGCGAGCAGGTTGACATCTCCAGCTGAGGTCGGGGAGCTGCAGGGTGAGCAAGTTGAGCTGCTGCTGGCCATGGCGCATGTCTGCCGGTCGCGAGGAGACGCCGCGAGGCTGCAGGAAACGCTGGCAAGCACTCGAGTCGCTATTGATCGTCTGCAAGGAAGCAGAAGCAGCTTCAAGTCTTGTTTGGGGGGGGACGTGAGCTTGAGGGTTGACGCCCTCGTCGATGCCCTTCGAGGACGTGAAGCGACGCGAGCGGCGGGGAAGCGAACGACCAAGAGCATCAAGCCCAGAGTGCGGGGAGCGACAAGCGAAGGAGAGGAGGAGGAGCGGAGGAGCGGAGATGAGGCGTGGGAGGTCAAGCTGATGACGCTGGAGGGAACCTTGTCCAGGATGCGGCATGATGACGCCACTGCCAGGCGAACGCTTGAGGAAGCGCTCAGACTCTGCACCTGCAGGAGGGAACGAGCGGAAGTACTGCTCGAGCTGGGTCTGTGCTACTCTGGTGCAGGAGGAAGAGGCTCAGGGGAGGGAGAGGAGCGAGAAGGGCGGAGGGAGCAGTTGAACTCGCTCAAGGTGACTCAGCTGCGGGAGCTGCTGGGGTCTCGAAATCTCCCGACTAGCGGGAAGAAGGCTGAGCTGGTGGAGCGCTTCTTGAGCTACGAGGAGGAGGAGGGAGGAGGCAGCGAGTCCCTGGAGCTGCTCATGAAGTGCTGGATGGAATGCCATCCTGACGGCCCTCAGCTCATGCAACGAAGGTGCGGGAGGGCGATCGCGAGGAGGCTGGAGGACTGCAGCAGCGCCCTCTTCTTCCAGCTGGGCAGCATGGGCATCGCGTCGAGGCTCATGCTTGAGTCTTGTCGGTTGGGGGGAGACGAAGTGAGGGAGGTGACGAGCAGTATGCGAGCTCTTGATCTCGCTGCTTGCTCAAGCCGACACGTCGACGAGCCCACAAGTTCGGGCAACGTGAAGCGTCTGCAGGAGAAGGCGAAGGAGAGCATGACGGAGCTGCAGCAGCTGCTGCCTCAAGGTTGGGCCGTTCTCGTCCTCCACACGGTGGAGGAGGGAGGAAGAGTCTCACTGGCTCTGGGAGTCATCGAACGCTCTGCTCCTCCCTCCCTCCAAGTCCTCGCTCCTCCCTCCCCCTGCCGCTTCTCGCGCTTCGAGGACATGCAGCAGGAGTTCGCAGAGATCATGCGGCTGTCGCGGGAGGGGCTGGAGCAAGCATCGGCCGTGAGCGGATCCTCAGAGAAGAAGCGTTGGTGGCAGGAGAGGAGCGAGCTTGACAGGTGCAGAGGAGAGGGAGAGGAGCAGAGGAGCAGAACGGGGGTTAGCTGATGCTTGACAGGCGGCTTGGTGAGGTCGTGACGGAGATGGACGAGTGGCTCAAGGGGAGGCTGGGAGGGAGGAAAGACGAGGTAAGCCAGTCTCCTCCTCGTGCCCTCAGCTGACTTGAACGCCAGCACGTCGTCCTGCTCCTTGACGAGGAGACGCATGAGCTGCCATGGGAGAACGTGACGAGTCTGAGAGAGCGATCCGTCTCAAGGGTCCCCTGCCTCTCCTTCCTCCTCCACCACCTCCAGCTGTCTAGCCCGAAGTTCAAGGCGTCAGCTCCCCGCAGCTTCGCTCCCACCTCCGTCAGCAGGTCGAGTACCTTCTACGTCCTCAACCCGTCGGGGGACCTGCCAGGCACGCAGGAGACGTTCGAGCGGCTCTTCGAGCAGGAGGGCTGGCGAGGAGTCGCAGGACGCATGCCGCAGGAAGGGGAGCTGGCTCGCTCGCTGCTGGAGGAAGACGTTCTGGTGTACTGCGGGCACGGGGGAGGCGAGAGGTGAGGGAGGAAGCAACCTGTGCTGAGCTCATCTCCTGTCTAGGATGATTCGTGCGGAGGAGCTGAGCCGCATGTCGCGATGCTCGGCTGCTGTGCTGATGGGATGCAGCAGCGCTCGGCTGAGGAGGCAGGGAGTCTTCGAGCCGAGGTGAGAGGAGGAGGAGGGGAGAAGCGCCGACGTGTCTGATGCGCATGCAGGGCTCACTTCCTGCACTACCTCGCCGCTGGCTCTCCTTTCGTGCTGGGCAACCTCTGGGATGTTTCGGATCGGTCGAACTTTTTCCCCTCTGCTCAATCTTGGCCTCCTTGCCCTGCTGCTGCTGCTGCTGCTGAAGCTCCTCCTCCTCGCCTCCTTCCCCTCCTCTCCCCTTCCCCTTCTTCACTTTGTTTCCTCTTATCGAGCATCTTAACCTCAGGGACATCGATCGTTTCTCCGAGCAGCTCTTTCGCCAAGCTCTCTTTGCCAACGAGGACGCTCAAGGTCTCGCCGGCTGTTCGCCCATCCCCTCTGACTGCCTGGCAGTCTCCATCCTCTCGAGCGTAAAGGAGGCGCGAGACTGCGTGAGGATGCGGCATCTCATCGGCGACGCTCCTGTCTTCTACGGCCTCCCAGCCGTCGCCAGCGCCTAAACGACGTGAAGCTTGCAAAAGCTTTATGCGAACAGATAGTACAAGTTACAATACAACCCGCCGACCTCACCCCCGCCAGGCTCCTCTCCTCCTCCCCCGCCACCTGCCGGGAGACCGGGAGTGATCGGCTGGGAGGATGACAGTTCCCGACCTCTCTGCTATGCTCGCTGCCATGTGCTGCGTCAGCTTGTACGCGAGGAACAGAGCTCGGAGCATCCCTGCCACCACGACGATGCCGAGGACGAGGGAGGCTGAGCTGTCGCCCCTGGGGTTCCCGCGGAAGAGGTTCGGGTGGTACCCGATGAAGCCGAAGCCTCGCATGGGGAGGAGGATGACCAGCGTCGAGAAGCCCAGGACCCCCACCCCTGTGCAGCCCAGGATGAAGTGCTGCCGGTCGATGGCGTACATGTCCGCCAGCCCCGTCGACTTGCCGCCATCAGCCAGCGGCAGCTCCCACGCCAACTTTCCCCACTTGACCACGAAGCCCGTCAGGAATACCCCCAGCAGAAACAGCGAGAAGGACACCACCTCCACCACCCCCCGACGTCGCACAAAGTTGGCGAGGCCCCGGCGCTCGACGCGGTAGGCGTAGAAGCACTGGTCGCACTGGACGTGAGAGGAGGCGTTGAAGCTCATCCTTCTCCACGTGTCGAGACACTTCTCGTGGATGTATCGCATCGTCCCCTTGCAGTGACACGGCGAGAAAAGCTTCCCCTGCTCCGGCGCCTCTTCTTCGGTGCACTGACAGATCCTGCAGACTCTCTCATCCTCTTCTTCCACCGGCACCTGCTCGTCAAGTCCCGCCGCTTCTTCTTCCTGCGCGTCTCCCACCGAGAGCTTGGCAGACGCATCCGAGTAGCTCATCCCCTCCCACTTTCCCCGCACCAGCCAGACGTCCTTGGAGCACCTCCGCCCATCCTTTCGCTTTCGCAGCAGCCTGAGATGCGTGCGACTGCCTCGTCCACACCGCTTTGGCACGTCCCCTCCCCAGCACCCCCAGACGTACTCAGCTACGCGCTGAGCTAAGCTCAGCTTGGGGTCCCCGTACGCGAGCTTGAGCACGAGGTCCAGCGAGAGGTTTTGCACTTGCACACCGTCGATGCACAAGAGCTCGTCGCCCACTTGCACTGAGTGTCTGCAGGGACCATCCGGCATGGCCTCTGTGATGACATACCGCACGCTACCACCGACAAGCTCCTGGCGGAAGCTTATGCCCAGCAGCCACGAGCGATGCGTCATGAAGAGATGCTGCTTTGACTGCGGCAGTTTGACACTATCACAGTGCCTGAACCTTCGTCGCAGGAGATAAACGACGACAGCAATGGGAACCAAGCAAACAAGGAGGATCAGAAGAAGGGCTACAGGGTCATTCACGATGAAATCCCACACAATGGCAGCAGCGGTAGGAGAATGAAGCTGTTTCCGGACTGCTGTGATCTTAGACAAGACGTGAAGAATATCCGAGAAGATCTGATGGCAGCACCACCAAACAATCGTCAACCGTTGACATGACAGCCGCAACCCTCACCTCGATTAGGTCGATCACCGCGTGAACTCCCCCGAGCTGCACAAAGAAGCAGAAAACGACGAGGAAGAAGTATCCCTGACAGATCGACTCAGTCAAGTCCCAGCACGCAGATGCTATCTACCGTTGAAGAGCAGGCTGCTAGAAGGTCGTCCAAGAAGGATTGATTCAACGACATCAGGGCTGACGAGGCTGCTTCCCGGACCTTCACTTCTCATCAGTCTCAGTCTCTCCGCGACCTTAATCTCACCGAAGCTTGTCCGCTGCTCTCAAGCTCATGAAGCACTTCTACGGCTCCCGCCCGCTTGCAGCATTCTCGAAAGAATCGACGCCGTCTGACTAAGCATTCAAGTGCTGAAGCAGCACTTGCCTTGCACTCGTTCGACCCGGTGCGGATCTTGAGGATGAGCGTCTCTACGACTCCTTGGTCATGCAGAACTCGCTCCAACGATCGCGACCCCCCGATGGCCGCCAGAGCCTCAGCTGCATTCGCAAACGCCCAGTCTGACGCGTGAAGCATCTTGACGATGCTCTCGATGACGGCCCGGGGGATGCAAATGTTGGGTCGCTGTAGGCACAGAAGAGCAATACAAAGCGCTGCAGCTGACTTGGCAGTCTCAGATGAATCTGCGACAAGTAAAGCCGACAATGCCGGTACCGCTAGTTGCATGAAGTGCTGGGATTTAGTTTGCATCAATGATTGTGAACTTCTGTTCATCATCAAATCTGTGGACATTCTGCGAAGATCGATTCGAACTTGTTCCAACCGGAGAGGCATCGTCTCAGCCGAAGTTTCATAGAGCCTCATGTAAGCTAAAGTGTTTCCGAGAGTGTTGGCCAATACTGCAAGAAGAACTGCTGCACGTTCAGCTTCCGGGCCCGTCGGATCGTCGATAATGCAACTGCATAATCTTCCCGCAACTTCATCGAACAAAGGAGTCTTGTCGCTCTCCCACTCCATCTGAGTTGCTAGTCTGACCAGCATGTTGCTCGCCAACACCTCTGCCTTGTGTGTCGCCCGTTGACTCGCGCTGTGCCCGCCGTCATGCGTATCGTTGGCGTTGGATGGGTCTGGAGGCGATGACGGATTGGGAGGCTCATAACAAGCTTGTTTCTCGGATGGCTGTTGGACCAGCTTGAGCAGGGCACCAATCAGCCCGGTCTTGGAAACTGCTTGTCTCACCCGCGTCGAACACTGCAGTACCATCAGCGATTTAATGAAAAAAATGAGAGCAAACGACCTGCTTTGGGAGGACAGAGACAAAAGACTGCAATGTCTTGAGTTGTTCGCGAGGATCAACATCCTGCTACGAGGATCACAACAGGAACACAGGAGATGGCAGAGCAAACCGTGTCCAGGGATCCGATGATTGAAAGCAATACCAACGAAGGATTTCTTCCAGACAATAATTCCTATCGCATGACATTCGTCAAACAACAAGTTGTCTGCAATACGCATTCAAAAAAAGGAGCTTGCCTGGAGTGCGATTGTTATGTTCTCTTTTGCGGTAAGATCGCAGCTATCTGTACTGAGCAGTGCGAAAAGATTCCTGACGGAGCTCAAGCGAAAGAAGCTATCGTTGGTTGAATCTGATGTACAAGCTACTAACGCCAGAATATTTGAGCTCGCCTGAATTCAATAGTTGAAATCTCTCTTACACACTCACGGGACATGAATACCTGCTTGAGACTGTCACACAAATTTTCTCTTCGATCTGAGAACGAATCGAGATGGTTGTAGGATGCGTCCACGTTCACATCGTTGAGGTTTTGGCCATTCGGATGCAAACGGTTCGAGTCAAGAGCAACGTCTTGGACGGGATTCCCGTCAGCTTCTCCATCAGGAAGAGGACGAGAAGCCTCAGTCCTCAGCAACAACTCGACGAAGATATCAGCAGCACCCATGCGCGCCATCAGCAGCCTATGATTGTATCTCTTGCGAAGGGACGACTTGACTTGAAGCCACAGAAAAGCAGAGACTCCAAGACAAATCAAGACATGGGCACACTGCTTAATGAAGTTGCTGTTGAGAGATTTCAACGAAGAAAACCAAGCATTCGTTGAATTGTATTCGATTGCTTGATTGCTGAATTCCTGGTCCCAAAACAAATGAGTTCCAATAAGACGCGATGCAAGAATCAAACCTTAATCACAAAACTTTGGTCCAGAAGGCCGTCATTCCAGTACCACAGCATGATAAGGCTCCACAGTGAACCGATTCCTTGAAACAAGAACCACCTGTCTTGCTCAATCAAAGGCTGAAAACAACGGCAAGATGAAGAGGACTCACGTGCCCGTGTTTAGAACTAAGCTCTCGAGGATACACCGCAAGGGACTTTGAAGCGTCGTGCTAGTGATGTCCTTGACAACTATCTGTAGTTGCCGAACTGTCTCATATCGAAGATTGAGTTCCATTCGAGGGCTTGACAGCTCGGAGAACAGACTCGTGAATCGATTGCTTTGCCAATACCATACCCATCGCCAATAAATCTCACCGGAGCTCCAGAGAAGGACGCCAGAGATTAGAATTACATTCAACACAAGCCCGGGAGAGAGCAGCAAGTAAGTTAGGATATACCAGCATGCACACATGACGCGAGAAGGAAGGGGAATCTTGATAGGGGCAAGCTGTATTGCTTCCTCCTTCGATTCCCCTGCCCGAGATGTCACTCTATGGAATTCGTCTGGCATCTTTTCGCTACTGAACAAGAATGCCTCGCCACGTTCGCTCATGTCCATGGGCATGACTTGTAATGTCAGAGACTGTGTCTGCCTAGTGAATCAGAGACACGACTGCGTGTCTGCCATGCGCCTGCCCACGTCGCTGTTGAAAGACGGCAATTCACATTGGCCTGGCAATCAAATATTACAAGGTGTCAAACAAGAGCCACAGGTGCGTCCACATTCACGCAACTTTTGGACATACTTGTTAGAAAAGAATCTTGCAACGATTTTGAGGATTTGCTTGTTATCATTTCCTTTTGAGCTTGCCACATTCTCTAACTCGATGATTCACATCTTTGTCTTTGGTGAGAATGCACTGAACTCTTCACTGGTCTTTCTTCTCGTCTTGAGAACAGCTCCTCTACAGCTCAAGCTCGCTGCTTCTTCTCCATCCTCCTCTCTCGCTTCTCGGCTACATGTCGCCATAGCCTCCTAGTTTCCCCCCACCATCGTTCCTCTTCCCCCTAGCTGCATTGAAGGGTTGGGGGTGGAGGAGCAACGAGTGGTGAGAGGAGGGTGGGGGTGGGTGTTAGTTGAACATGGGGGTGGGGTGGGCATGTGTCTGGGAGTGACGGGTGGGTTTGAAAGTGTAGTGGAGAAGAGTGTGGGGGTGGGGGTGGGGTAGGTAGTATACTACCCTACTACCCCCCTTGGGGTAGGGTCGTCTCATGAAGATGATTCTGAGGGATTCGAGGAGTGACTGCGCAAGCCAAATTCAATTTTAACTACTATATTTCAATATTATTTCAAAAATTTTCAATATTAGATGACCTAATTCAATCTTTATAAACCAAATATATTTTGACTATAATAGCTAATACATGACTATAAGAGTGACACGAGAAGTTAGGTATGGGCCCTAAGATCGACATTTTTCTAATTGTCGTCCTAAGCTTTTCGGGTCATCATCTCCCCTTACCCTCTCCAAGTATTGCACCTTGCTATCACCAACACGGGCCATCTACCCCTGGTATTCTACACCACCACCCCTATCCAGGGAATCATATGCAGTACCCCTCCAAGTACCTTCACTACCCGGCTTTTTGACCTCTCAATCACCGGTACTGTCACTACCCCACGTGGGGCGTTTTCATCGGATCCTCCCCTAAAGACTGCTACCCCTACCCTCGATTAGACTGTTCAAAGTACCCCTCTGACGCTTTAAGAGGACGCGTGATGAAGCGAGGGCGGGAAGATGGCGAGGGAGGGACGAGGGTGGCGACGTATCGATGCAGCTCGAACATCGCCGTCATCAAGTACTGGGGGAAGAGAGACAAGAAGAAGATCCTCCCCATCAACTCCTCTCTCTCTGTCACCCTCTCCCCGTTCGACATGGGAACTTGTACCTCGGCCGCCTACAATCCGTCCTGGAAAGGAGTCAAGCTGTGGCTCAATGGGAAGGAGGAGGATGCAAATACAGAGAGGATTCAGAACTGCCTTAGAGAGATACAAGCAAGGAGCGGAGAGAGTGACATGAAGGAAGGTATACGAATAGTCAGCACCAACAACTTTCCGACAGCTGCTGGACTTGCTTCGTCGGCTTCAGGCTATGCATGCCTGGTAGCGGCACTGGGAGGGCTCTTCAAGGTCGAGGGAGATCTCTCGGTGATTGCTCGCCAGGGCTCTGGCAGTGCTTGTAGGAGCATGTATGGAGGGTTTGTGAAATGGGAGATGGGCAAGGAGGAGGACGGGAGCGACAGCATTGCAGTGCAAGTGGCACCGGAGACTCACTGGCCGAGCCTGCATGCTCTGATCCTAGTCGTGAGTGACGAGAAGAAGAAAGTCAGCAGCACTGGAGGAATGGAGGAGAGTGTCCGCACCAGCAAACTGCTGGCTCACCGAGCACAAGCGGTTGTGCCGGACCGAATGGTTCGCATGGAGCAGGCCATCAAAGATAAGGATTTCGCTGCGTTTGGGAAACTCACCATGGAGGACAGCAACCAGTTTCATGCCACCTGCTTGGACACCTGGCCGCCCATCTTCTACCTCAACGACACTTCTCGGGCCATCATCCAGTTCGTCCATGCTTTCAACGAGGAGATGGGTCAGATTTGCGCTGCTTACACCTTTGACGCGGGGCCCAACGCCGTTCTCTTCGTGGAGGAAGCGAACTTGGTCAAGCTTGCTCATCGCGTGTCTGCTGCGTTCCCTCCATCCAAGGACAAGACACTCGAGGATCACCTCGCAGACGATGAGCTTCGCAACAAGGTGCAGGAGGTAGGAGGATGGGAGGCAGACCAAGACATGGGAGGGAGAGTGAAGTACATCATTCACACCAAGGTTGGCTGCGGACCCTCCGCCCTCACGGAGGACGAGTCGCTGATCGACCTCTCCTCGGGCCTTCCCAAGTGATTCTAGTGCTTCACTGTTATAAGTTGAATGAATCAGGAACGAAACTGGGCGAGGAAGGGGAGGAGAAGGAGGGAGGGGAGGGGGAGGAAGAGGAGGAGGGGAGGAGGAGGAGGGATATCACGAGCAAGACATCACGCTGCCTCAGTACATGGACGTCCGCGATCTCGGTGCGAGCTTGACGGGCGTCAGTGGTGCGGTAGAGATGTCGGGGAAGTGAGAGTCCGGGTCAGGTGGAGGTTCCCCCAGGTAGTTGGCGACGAAGGAGCTGCTTCTCTCATCCATGCGACTGCGATGCATCACGAGCAGGGCGAGGTTGTGGAGCTCGGCATCAGCGGTTGTCACCGCCCTGTCCGCATGGATCTCCTTCTGCATGCTGTGCCAGAGTATCAGGTTGGCGAGTAATCTGCGGAGGTTGTCGACGAGATGGCTTCCCTCTCGTTCCGTCCCCTCCAGCTGCTCCAGCTGCTTCACCTGCTCCTCCCCCATCCTCCCCCACCGCCTCTCGATCGCCAAGTTCGACTTGCGCAGCTTCAGCACCATCGAGTGCACGTGCGGCTTGACCGCAGACCAGGTGGAGGCGACGCTCGCAGACTTTCGCTTGAGCCGGGGAAGGAGAGAGATGTCGGGCTCTGAGCGAACTCCGATCAGCTGACGGCGAATGAGCAGCCCGCAGCGCTCGACGACCAGCCAGAGCTTGTGGAAGGAGATGGGCTGACCCTCGTCCTCTTCCATGAGGCTGCGCACGTGCTGGTAGACTTGCACCACCTCCTCGTCCTGCACCTCCGGCTCGATGGACTGCAACATCCCTCGCAGCTTGTGGAGCTCAGAGAAGTGCCGCATGCCTTTGCCGGCGTCGAAGAGAAGCTTGAGCATCTTTCTGACCTCCTTCTTCTCCTCCTTGTACAGCATCAGCAGACTCCCCAGGAACGCGAAGGGCTCGAGAGTCTCAGACGTCTGGTCAGCTTCTCTCAAGATCTCCCGCTTCATCTCCTCCCGCACGGTCTCTGCATAAGAATTCTCCGCATGCCGCATGATCAGCAAGTCGCAGGCCTGCGCTACCACGGGCTTCGATACCTCCAGCCATGTTCGCGCGCTCACGGAGGCCCCGAGGAGAACCTTGCGGGCAAGCATGTAGTACGCCACCTCGTCGCTGGTGCAGGAGTTGAGCAGGTAGTGAAAGTTGGCCACCTCCGGGTGCTCCTGCTGCAGCCGCACGAGGCTCTCGAGGAACTTGAAGCACTCCGCGTCTGCTCTCGTCCTCGGATGCGACGAGAGTCTGGAGGCCTCGGCGTTGCTTCCGAACCACAAGTAGACGAACTCAGCCAGGGGAAGGGACGCCTCAGGCCCAGCAATGCCTGGCATGGCGTCACACAGCCCCTTGTCCACAGAGATCTTCCTGATGACGCTCAATGTATTTCTCAGATCCTCTCCCCTGTAGCCCGCGGAATTCGGTTTGGAGGAGGACGGCAGGAGCAGCATATCCTTGAGCCGTGTCAGCCCACCCCTCCGGTACCCTAGTGTCTCCTCCGTCTCCTCCTCCAGCTCCGTCTGATGAGGCTCAGGTGCCACCTGCTCACTCGCATCCCCTCTGCTTCCTCGTCCTCTTGTCCTCTCATTCTCAGCCGCTTCTCTGCCTCTCTCCGCCATCTCTCTCGCACTCTCCGCCTCCGCCACCTTGCGCTGCATCTCGATTTCGATCTCCTCGGATTTCCGTCTCATCCGATCGCGATCAAGGATGAGATGATGTCGATCTTGCTCCATCTGCGATGTTTTCTCTTCCATCCCTCTCAACTCTCTCACTACTTCTCCCACCCTCTTCGTCACTTCGCCCCTCACAGTCTCCACAGCCTCCAGCAACCTTCCAACGATCGTGTTGACATCGAAATCCTCCAACGTCGCCTCCTCCTCCTGCATGTCCGCACAAGCATCGTCTCCTTGCATCTCCGTCACATGCATCCGACCAGCTACCGATGAGAGGTGCGCGGGCAGGGATCGCAGAGACGTCAACACTTTCTTGAGGATCCGGCGAGTCTCGTCGTCGGGAGGATCTTCGTGAGTGCAAGTCGACGCGTCTTGCATCTCCTGCCTTCCCAATAGCTCGCGGCGATTCTGCTGATCTCCATCTTCACTTCCTGCCTCTCCGTTCAGCTTCCTCAGTAGCGACTGGATCGTTTCCTCCATCCTGATCTCGTTCGCTTCCTTCTCCTCCAACTTCGCCTCCATGTCTCGGAGCCTCTGAGCGCTCGCAAGTATCGTCTCCTCCTTGGCTCGCAACTCGTCTCGCAGCTGAGCAACAAGCTCTGCTTCCTCCCGCTCCTCCTCCAGCCTCCTCCTCGCCACTTCCCTCAACGCCCCCAGCGCTCGCTTCAGTTTCTCCTCCTCCATGGCCGGCCCTCCCACATAACCGTTATTCGTAACGGAAATCGAACGGACTGTCCGGGTCAAACGACCATGCGCTCGAAGGAGACGTGAGGGAGGGAAGCCTGAGGAGAAGGAGGACGAGGAGCTCGAGGGCGCGGGGGAGGTGAGGAGGCGAGGGAGGAGGAGGCGAGTGAGGAGGAGGCGAGGGAGGAGGAGGCGAGGGAGGAGGAGGCGGTCCTGACGCGATGGGAGAAGTGAATAGCATGGAGCTCTCGTTTGAGGCGGACGTGGATAATTTCTCCCTGCGACAGCCGTCAGTTCCCCCGCCCCCCTTCTCCTCCTCCTCCTCGTTCTCCTCCTCCTGACCGTGTGAGACTTCTCGAGGAGGATGCTGACGAAGGTGCCGGGCACGTCGCTGCCTCGCAGCACTTGAAGGACGTTGTCGTCTGTGAGCATGCAGCCCTCGGCGGCTATGAGGTTGTCGCCCCTGCTGCCACGTCACCTTCCTCCACTAAGTCGCATCATCGCACCGAAAGAACATGCCCGACAGATCTGCCGGCCCTCCCTTGGCCACGTCTTCCACCTTGCATCCTCGCAGTTTGAGGCCGATCTGACATGACAAGCTCAGCATGAGACCAAGAAGCCTCTCCTAGCTCACAGTTGTGCGCTGCTGCTGCTGCTGCTGCTGCTCCTCGAGCTCCTCCTCTTCCTCCTTGTCTAGATCTCGAGAAGCCTCCGAGCTCGAGCAACTCACTCGCGCCTGACGTTGCCAGTCCTCCTGGCATGCGCATCATCATCATCATCATCATCATCATCATCATCATCATCATCAGCAGCAGCAGCAGCAGCAGCAGCAGCAGCAGCAGCAGCAGCAGCAGCAGACAAACACTGAGATCAGACCAGGAGCACGGCGAGCAGGTGCCGCTGCTTTCTTTCTTGAAGCTGACAGAGTGACACATGCAGGCGCTTCCTCGCTGACATGCCGACGACCCACAAGCGAAGCACAAAGCTGACCAGGCAGCGACGAAGCTCGTCCAAGTTCACCTCCTGCGCAGACACGAGGCGACTCGAGAGCTGCTGCTGCTGCTCCACATGCCCCAACAGGCTTGACAGTCGCCAGGACAGCAACGCCCTTCCCTTGAGCGCCTGGATCCGAAGGGACAGCAAGGCTGAAGAGCCTCTGAGCCTCAAGGACGCGAGGAGGCCAAGGCAGCGACGCGTCTCCAACCAGCAGCTCAGAACCCTGACCAGCCTCGCAACCCCCGAGAGACTTGAGATGATACCTCGCGACATCCTCTCCTCCTCTGCTACCTCCCTCCAGCCCCCTATCGCTCGCTCCGCCCGCCGCCTCCTCTGCCGCCTCTCCGCCTCTCCTCGTCGGGCCTCCTCGCGCTTGCGATCCGCCCTCCTCCTTGCCCACCTCCTCAGCGCGCGCCCGGCTGCTCGCCCCTCCAGCTCCTCCCGCTTCCAGCTCCCCTTCCTCCTCGCCCCCCGCGCCCTCCGGCTTGTCTCCTCCCACGCCAGCAGCGCTGCTCTCTCCAGCCGCCTCCTCCCAGCGCTCCTCGCCCTCTGCACTGCCCTCCCCTGGCTCCTCCTCTGCTTCGTACACGCGCTCCAGCCCCGCACCGCCTCCTGCTTCATCCTTCGCCTCCTTCGCTCCTCCCCTCTCGCTCCCGCTGCCCGAGCCCTCTCGGCTCTCCGCACCTCCGCCTCCCACGCGACCAGGGCTGCCCTCCCCGTCCTCTCCTCCCTGCGCCGACCTGCTCGGGAGCACAGACTCCGCAAGCTCGCTTCCTCTTGCCTCAGCTCCCCCCAGGCCTTGAGACTGCCTTCCACCATGCGCCTCTCCTGTCTCTTCTGCAGAGCCCTCCCTCCCTCCCTTACCTCCTCCACGTACCACTGCCACCCCCGCACCGCTCCCCTCACCCTTCCCTTCCTCCTCGCCTCCCCCGCCCTCCTCCCGATCTCCTTCCTCGCTCTCCGCCCCTCGCCTGCTCGCTCCAGCTCGTCAAGCTCCGCCACAGGTACAGCTGCTGCGTCTTGAGCACCAGCTCAGCCCAGCTCGTCTCCTGCTTCCTCTCAGCCCGCGCCGCTGCTTCTTTCTGCGCCTCCTCCTCCTCCGTCCGCCTCTTCTCCTCCCTCGCCTCCTTCACCCACCCAGCCCATCCCTCAAACCTCTCCCCCAGCCGAGCCTCCCGATCCTCCCGCGCCCCCGCTGCCGCCCCGCCCATGCCCACACCACCTCCCGCTGCCCCTCCCTCGCCTTCCTCCTTCCCAAGCTCCCTGCTGCCTGCTCCAGCACCCTACGCTTTGCCTCTGTCTGCTCCAGCAGCCTCGTCCTCTCTCCTTCATGCGCCGCCCTCTCCTCCTCTGCTACCTCCCTCCAGCCCCCTATCGCTCGCTCCGCCCGCCGCCTCCTCTGCCGCCTCTCCGCCTCTCCTCGTCGGGCCTCCTCGCGCTTGCGATCCGCCCTCCTCCTTGCCCACCTCCTCAGCGCGCGCCCGGCTGCTCGCCCCTCCAGCTCCTCCCGCTTCCAGCTCCCCTTCCTCCTCGCCCCCCGCGCCCTCCGGCTTGTCTCCTCCCACGCCAGCAGCGCTGCTCTCTCCAGCCTCCTCCTCCCAGTGCGCCAGGCTATTTCTGCGCGGCATTTGGAAGTTTGTAGCTGGCGAGTATGTTGTTTCCACTGGAAAAGGTTGTTTTCTGCAAGAGGAGTAGATAGAGGGTTGGTTCTGATTGATCTTTCTCAACTGGTTCAATGCACGCATGCTCGATCTCTTCTGTCAGTTGATGATTGCTTTCATCTCCCTTCTCCATGAGGACCAAGTCTCTCCATGACATGAATGCCGCGCTTGTTCTCATCATAGAGATCCTTCGAAGGGCTCTGTGCTGAATAACACTGATCGACTTCACATGATATCTCCAGACTTTGACCATCAGCTTGCGCGTCATCCGCTCCTTTGCTGCCTCGTCCGACTTCTCTCTCTCGCAGCACCTCCATAGCCCGAAGGCCTTCAGCGAAAGGCTCCTCCTTCTCTCTCGCTGCTGCCATCGAAGCAAGCTCTCCCGCAGCCCGACTCTGTCAACCTCCAGCTGTTCACTCAGTCACACAGGGCTGAAACACGAGCAGAGCTGATTGTCAGTGCATCTACCTCCTCCTCCAGCTCGGCAAGCACTTCGAGGCAGCAGCTCTTCATGTCTCGGCAGCTGTCTTCTGCCCTCTTCAAGCGCTCGCTATCAGCAAGCAACATCTTCGTCCACAACTGGATGGCAAGGTCGACGGTCGAGGTTGCGTCAGTTGTGTCTTGCGGCGGATCTTCGAAGAAGTTTTGGATGCAAGCAAACAACTCAAGCATTCGTCGCTTGTCCGCCACTTCTTCCGACCGCATGCGGCTCAAGACCACTTGCCGAACCTCTGCCTGCAACCAGTGCACGCGTTATCCAATAGCACAGAGGGAATGCCCGAGTGAGGGCTGATTCACCTTTCCTTGCTTGCGGAAGGAGAGCTTGACCTGCGAGCCCGGTACGTCGTCTCCTCGAAGTAGAGCATGCAGCACCTGCGACGATGACGCAGGCTGGTCATCCACTGCCAGGATCTCATCCCCCCTAGCTAGGGCCTGGGAGGAGAAGGCGGGGCCTCCAACAACTAGTCCCTCGATGACAAACCCGTTGAGCATGACGCCAACCTGCTGCTCTCTCAGCCCCTCCTCTGTCTCGAGGTGACTCACCGTCGACTTTGACGAGAACCCTGCGGGCAGCAAGCGAGTTTCCCCCAAGTCTGCCACATCAAGTCACTGCACCAGACCCTGCACAGGAGGGCTCGCCCGCGATACCAGCAGCGGATGAAGAGGAGGAGGAGGAAGGGAGGGAAGTTGGGAAGGAGGAGACCATGGCGATCCTCCTCCGCATCGCTGCGACCTTCTCCTTCATCGCCATCGCCCGCAGTGTCAAGCTAAAACCGTGACTGAGGGAACAAGTGCCTTTTACTCATAGTGAATCATCACTAGGAAAACAAGTCCGCCTCAGATATGGAGTAGTATATATAGTAAGGCAGCAATCAAGTATAGAAGATGAATAACTGAAGCAGCAGCGGCAGTACTCGGTCCGAGCCATGGCGACGTTGCAAGAGTTTGCGAGCGCGTTGCTTGAGCGAGGAGGGCGAAGAGCGGAGGAGGAGCTGGAGGACGAGGAGCAGACTGAGTTGCTGTCCCCTCCATTCATTCATGTGATCTCCTCCATGTGCTTGTCCTGTGCCTCACGCTGTTGTCAGTGGGGGAGCGAGGGCAGGGGCCGCTTACAGGGCAATGTCAGGACAGCGCAAGTCCTCCTTGTAGTCAGTCAGTCGGCTGCGCTGTCCTCCCTCCAGGTCACTCGATGCTCATGCATCTGATCTCTGACTTGGTCCATCAGGCCTGCATCCGTGCAGAGAGTCTGACAGAAGAAGGGATCGTCTTCTTGGAGGAATGCAGCTTTCGAGGGGAGCCACAGTCAAACGGCGTTCTGACAAACTGCTGGAAGTAAGGAGCTCTGAGAGAGATGTCACAATCACGTCACAGCTGACACTTTGACCAGAATCCTGAGCTCTAAGGGCTCGGACGTATTGATTGTCGTCGTAGGAAGTGAGTTTGGACATTGGATCCAGAAATAGGTTCTCATTTCCGAGATAGGTCAAACCTGGTCACAGAGATACCATGCTTGTGCCAAGCTGCTGTGCGACTCCATCATAGCACACAAGTACTGATATCAAACATGATCTGTCGGAGCAGTCACGTCAGTCCTGAACAGGACGTACATCTTCGACGAACTACCTCGGAGGAGGTGCGGTGTGGAGTTGAGTGAGCAACAATCGCTGCTGAGGTGAGCATGTCTGTTCTCCTACCATCGGCTTCAGCTCATCACTGCGTGCGAATCTTCAGGTTTGTGAGCACCGATGAAGGCTTGTCCTTGAAGGAAGACCCAGCCGTCGAGAGATTGCAGATGCTAGAAACCGGATCGGTAAACCTGCAGTCTTGGATGGAAGAATGTGGTATGATGATGCGGGGTAGATCATCGACGGGTTTTCAGCTGCTCTCATGTCTGCTTGTCAACTTCGACGTCGTTCTGCCGTTGGTTCTGTCAAAGAGCAAGATCGAGCTTGACTTGTCGTTGCAGGGACTAATTGTCACCCTCACGAATGAAGCAGACGAAGTTCGGCATCAAGGCAGAAGCGGCCTTCCGTCCTTGGAGCTCGTTCAAACCCTCAGGTCTCCATCCTTGTGGTCAAAGAGCGCTGAACGTTTCCCCAGAGCCGTGCTGCAGGCATCAGGAGCAGAGACTGCGCCACCAACAGAGGCAGAGGTGGTCGAGGCGGCAGGTGAGGTCGCGTGAGTTCAGTGCTGCGTCTGAGAGCTTGACGAGCAGGATCGAGCGAGCTCTACTCCTGAGCACTTTCACGCACCATAAGGATTCCGCCATTCACTTGCCAGGAGGAGGAGGCCTGAAGCAGGAGCTGAGCGACCCTTCAAGGCTTGAGGGGATAGCGGCAGCTCTTGCTATCCTTGAACTTCAAGCTTGTCGGTATCTACTGAGGGTCGGCCACCTGGCAATGCTTGATGAATTCACTTTGACAACTCTTTCAGTCAGTGATATGAAGTCAATCAAACTTAAATGCTGTCAACCGGATTGAACCGCTTCACTGTCAGTACTTGAACTTACCAGGCTGTCGTTCAGGTTCATGTTAACCCATTAACCTGAACCTAAACCACCCGGTTAGTTGAACATGGTGCCACGGTGACTGGCAAGCCTAGCCTCAGCCGGCCTGGCGCCGGGCCGGCGGCCGGCGGGGGCCGGCTGAGTAACATCATGTGACTCACACGTTGATCGGACGGTGACGACGGTGCCACGGTGATCAAAGTCGGGAGCCCGGCTGGCCGGGCGCCGGGCGGCCCGGCCCGGGCCGGACGTCCGAGCTCGGAGGCCGGGCCGCTGACTGACTCAGAAGGCCCTGCCAGGCTGATTGACGGCCTCGGTTTTACTACTTTCTGAGAGCTGCGGAGGCTGGGTGGTGGGGTATGTGTGAGAAGGGGTACTTTATATTGAAGAAGGGGGGGTATAAGAATAGTTTTAGGGTGGGTGGGTCTTCAAGGAGGGGGGTGGTCCGATAGCCTGATGGGTGGGGCGGATATGCGGGCATGGAAGGAGTATGGAAGAGCAGCGGAGGAGGAGGTAGAGGGCGGAGTTGATAGACTAGGATCAAGAGCAGCGACACTTCGAGCATGTGCCAGCAGGAGACAGCGGGGAATCCTCCTCTGCTTCCTTGTGCTGTCGTGCAAGGCTCACGAATGCTTCATGCACTCTCCCGCCTCCCACGTGCAGGAAACGTTTCCTCATCGGTCCCACGTGTGCGTGACGCTCCTCCTCCAGCCCGTAACTGCGAACTTGCGCTTGAGGGGAGGCCAGGGAGAGAATCCGACGGATCTCAGGATTTGTTATGGCAGGTAAGTAAGCCTGCCGCCACCCACTGTGTTTCGATCGGAACCAGGATATAGGCCAACATCTCACTTTACATGCAGAGAATGTCCCGCGCCCCGATTAGCCAGCTTCTTCCCTCTTCCTCGAATCTCCTTGCTCCGTCCAAAATCGGATGAGTGAGTGTTTGCCTCCTGTTGACCCTCCAATCTCACACCCCGGTCCCGATCAGACTGCAAGAGTTGGCGAGCCTTCGGCCTGAGGTTGTCCCTGTTCCCAATCGGAAGACAACTGCGCAGGTGCGATGTCTGACGAGACAACAACCAGCATCACAGGCCGCTCACCATCGCTCAGGCTTGTCTCTTTGTCGGGCGTCGCCTCAACCCGAGCTTCTTCCCCGACGGCACTTTCATCAATGAACGCCGCGCCTTGCTGACTGAGAGAATCGATCTGCGAACAGACGACAAGTATTTCATGCTGCCATGCCTCTCTTTCCTGGTCTCACGTTGTTGTCCGTGTCTGCTCTCTCGTCTCCAGGACCTTCCTGACAGAGTAAACCTGTCTCTGAACCCAAGGCAACGCCTTGCTGATCAAAGTGTTGCAGGGTGATCAAAGACGACGGGAAGAAATTTTTCGAGAGGGGAAGAGTTTGCTTGTGAGTGAGAAGGAGGTGGAAGAGATCGCAGTGACGTGGAGGATCAGACGGCGGATGGAATTTCTCAACCTTGACTGGTGCACAAGAACAAGGGTTGACAACTACGTCGTACTTGCCAGCCGAGTAAGCTCAACTGAGAGACGCTGCAGCTTCCTGGTATCACTGATGCTTGTCGTGCTCGTTACAGTTGTTGGGGCTGTGGACTTCGATGACCAACAAGGTGAGTTGATGATGCTCTAAGCGTAGCGATGATGTTGGTCAAGATCATATCGGAGGAATATGTAGAAGACAGGAACTATGCCAGAGCCTCGGTTACTTTTGCGATGACCAAGAATCATGTCTTAGCGGGTGGGAATGGAGTGGGTGTTGTCTTGATCAATCTGATGATTTCTCCTTAGGAGAAGAGATGCTGGCTGTGCATTGGGACAAACAGTCGGTATGTGCTGATGTCAATTTTTGGTCAGCCTGACCTATCGCGCATCTTCTCTTACCCCTTTCGCTCGTTCACCCTCCTCGCTCGCATCTTTCTACTACTTCTCTTGGTTCACAGGATGCAGTAGCATTTGAAGTTTGCAGGTGGCTGCTTCAGTCTTGTTGTTGTGTGCGTGACTGGCTTCAGTTTCTCATGGCCTCTACACCCCATCGCCAAGATCCTCACCCCCTTGATTCATCACACTCAGGTCTGTGTGGGAAGCCTGGCCGTCAGTCTGATGTCGAATCCCCAGCGTCGAGCAGCTGAGGGGTTTTGCGAGAGGATGTTCTCAGCGGTACGAGAGCGACGGTTCCGTGTGTAAGTGGCTGCAGTTGGTGCCGTCACGGACTGCTGACAATCGATGGTAGGAATCAGACAACAGGAGAAGTCTACGATGCAACGCTCTTAGACGAGCTGTAGTTGATGGATGAATGAGATGCGATACAAGCACCTCACTGGCAATGCCCCACCACCTTCAATGCATGCCTTGTAAAAGACGATGATAAGATGACCTAACAACCATCTGTCGCAATGAGCTCCTTCATCGAGTCTCTGCTGGAACGAATACATCCTTCATCACGTCTCTGCTGGAACGAATACATCCTTCATCACGTCTCTGCTGGAACGAATACATCCTTCATCACGTCTCTGCTGGAACGAATACATCCTTCATCACGTCTCTGCTGGAACGAATACATCCTTCATCACGTTTCTGCTGGAACGAATACATCCTTCATCACGTCTCTGCTGGAACGAAACTACAGGCTCCCTCTAGCTCGCAAGAGGCTTCGGCTCCTTCCCCTTGCTACTTTGCTGTCCTGCATGCCCTGCCTCCAGCAGGTTGGAGGAGGCAGTACCTAGCCTGCCTCAGAATGTCTCACTACCCCCACCTTCACCCTGGTAGACCCACCCCCTGCTCTCCCCATTCTTGTTGGTAGGGGGAGTAGGGCCTTGGCGAGGAAGAAGAGGGAGGAAGGAGGAGGAGGAGGAGGAGGAAGGAGGAGGAGGAGGAGGAGAGAAAGGGAGGAGGAGAGAACAGGAACGATTGATGGAGGACGAAGAGGAGGAGAAGTTAAAGTTACATCGCATGCTATCTGCAGAGGAGCATGGAATGATTTGATTGCGTGATTGGCATCTTTTCAGTTTATTCTCTTTTCCTCGGTTTTGACAACATCTTAGCAGTCTGATGAGAATCTCAGAAACAATCCACTGATTTCACCAATAGCATTGCATTCAACAACCTGAATCCTTGCGTGATCCGTTATTGGCCTGTTCTACTTCCCCTGAAGTGCGTTGAGTTCAACTACAGCACAATGAATTCTCTCAAGTTTGCTAGCAGCCTCTGCAGAAGTTCCAAACTCATAGATTTCGATAGAGAGAAGGAAGGCAAAGCAAACACATATAGTTCAGAGATCAGAGTTGGGCTGATTTAGAAGCAGAGCTCTTGTTGCACACAGCAGAACTAGGCTTCAAGGAGACTGTCAGGCAACAAGCGTTTCATGATTGATTGTGAATCCAGATGTCTTCAAGTCGACAAGCTATGATAAGATCGTTGGGCATCACCTGCAAGGTTCTGCCTCTCAGCCACGTGCTGTCGCTTGCATCTGATGTTGGTCACAGTTTGAGAGCGGCTGCCTGACAGTGACTCAAGTTCTCCCCGTCAGTACCGCATGTGAACCCCTGCCCTCCTCTGACTTGACTCCAGGAAAGCCCAGCAGCGTTCTCAGGTCAGATTGGAGTGGGAGATCAGATTGATGCGGTGGATGGCAAGATGATCTCGAGCCTGGAGCATGCTCGGGACCTGCTGGAGGGGTTGGATGACACGCTGGTGGCCTTAGAGATCAGGAAGGACGGAGGGGAGAACGCGGAATGCCAGCACTTGATCCGGCAGAAGGTGAGCGACTCGACGAGAGCGAGCGAGGAGAAGGTCGTAGGGATGGGCATCCGAATATTTCACAACGAACGGGGGATGTGGGTGAGTGACTTGTACGAGGGAGGGTCGGCCTACTGGTCGAGCCTCAAGGTCGGTGACCTCATCTGCGCCATCGACGGGCAGGACGTGAGGGGCTGCAGCGCAGAGGAGCTCCTTCGCTTCACCTCCGGCAAGCCAGGCACAAACATGAAGCTTCATGTCGTCCGCAAGTGGCAGCCAGGGGACGATGTCACCGGAGTCCTCAGCGCCCGTGGCCTTGCCGGTAGCGGCATCGACCAAGTGCAGTGGGAGGCTGAGCAGGGAGAACCTCTGGTGCATCCCGACGAGAGAATGATGCAGATGTTTGTGGTGCGCTGGCAGCTGCTCAAGGAGAACGCGCTGAAGAGAGCTCTGGACTACAGGAGCAGAGTCGTCCAACAACTGCAAATCAGAATCGACACGGCGCTCAGCGACAACCTGACTGCTTCCAAACAAGAGACTTGTTACGAGTTGAGGGGAAATGAGAACAGCATCCACTCACATCTTTCATCTCCCACGTCTGTTGGAGGGATCTCGGTAGCCGATAGAAGCGGGAACCGAACCCCACATGCTAGCCTACTGGATTCCCCGTCTCTGAATGACTTTGTTCGTATGGAAAGGCAGCTCGTTTCTCTCAAGGAGCGACAGGAAAATGAGATGTCAAAGTTGCAGTTTCAGATGCGAGCACTGCAGTCTGTCCTCGGCGAAGATTCTCATGAAAATGCTCAGCCTGAAGTACATCACAACGGAGATACTGGCACCCGCTATGCTGTGGCAAAGATGCAAGAGCACTTCCAGGAAATGATGGCACAGCAGAACAAGATGTCGGAGGAGCTGTTTCGACAGATCGAAGAGCAGAAGCAACATCGCAAAGATCAAAGCAATGTTCAATCGAACATTCTAAATCTCAGTGCAAAGATCAGGGAACTCGAGCTCTTTTCACGTCAGAATGCCAACGAAATGAATCAAAAGATAGAGTTTGTGCGGAACAATTCAGTTCACACGCTGTCGGCTGCGAGGGCTTACGATGATGCTCTTCCCGATCAGATCCAATCGCATGACGAGAAGGTCAGTGACGAGGCTGTTGGAATATCTATTCACATCGACGCGGAATTCGACCGAGTCAAGCTTTATGAAGGACAGTTCGCTGAAGACCTGATTGCCTCGTGCTCGTGGAGCGTTCAGGCGACAGAAGCTCGCTTTGTGTTCCGATCCCTCGAGCGAGGAAGTGTGATTGCCAGGCTTGACATCGTCCCTGACCCTTCCGGAGTCGATCAGCGAACCTGCCGCGAGCTTGCGGAGGAGCTCGCCTTCCAGGTCGCCTACGCCAACAGCCCCTTCCGCAAGGCTCCCGTGACCCGGCCGGCACTCCGTGTGGAGATTCACGAACCTCAGCATCAGCATCAACGCGTGCCGAGCTATGGCAGCGAGCGCCAGTCAGCTCCACTAGCGGCCCAAGGCCCTCCGCTAGAGGAGCTGCCCCAGGACTCCGATAGCTCTCCTCTCACCGACGAGTGGCTTGAAGCTCAGAAGCGCTTGGAAGAGATGCAAGATCTTGTCGGAAAGTTGGCGACAGCAAGGGGGTACTCCAAGGATGAGGCCCTTTCGCCGGAAGGATACATGGATGAAGGCGACGACGAGGACGACGGCGTGAAAGATGAACTTTCAGTGCCCGAACTGGCAACCATCATCTCACTTAACGAGCTGGGAGAGCGGCAAGAAGAAGAGACGTCAAAGTTTGTGCTGTACGACGACGATCAACTGATTTCTCCCATTGCGACTCGCGGTAGGATTATCAGGGATGACGAAGATGATTCGGAAGAAGAGTTTCCTTATATCACTGGGCATTCTTTTGTCAACATGCCTGGAAGCGACAAAGTTGAAAGATCGATTCAGCACAGAGCTTACAACTTGTTAGAAGCCGGTCACTCCGCCTCTAAGCCTCTTCAACCGACCAACTTCACTGACACTGCAGCTTTTGTGTCCCCGAGAGTTTCAAAGCATGACAACCAGGTAGCTACCAGCAGCCAAGAGAGAAAGTGGAGGGTACTGCCTCAGATGTCGCAGGAGCAGACGCCTAGTATCAACAGCGATTCCTCCTTCGTGAACGAGGGCATCATCGCCGTCGGGACAGACAGGATAGACTTGGAGGACGTCTCTTGGCAGATGGTGGAGAGACAACACGCAGGCCCTTCCCATCGCCCTCATCCGCCTCCTCGTCAACAAGAGAAGCCGAGGGCTAAAAGCTCGTGGAGCTCTGATAGTGATGACAGCGACGATTTCTACGGGCAGCCGACCTCCCTCAGCTTGTTAGGAGACAAGCACCGCAACATAAGCGCAAGGAAAAGCGCTGGAGGCTACCGGAGCTTTCAGCAAGACAATGCAGCGAGGATGCTAGACTCCGAAACCTCCGACAGCGACAAGAACTGACGCACTTGAAGAATCCGATGATCTGATTTTATTCTCGTGAGCATGATTGAAGTTTTCAGGACTCAGACCGTCGGACTCCGATCTCTCACCGTCTTATAAACTTGATAGTCTTGACGCCCGTTGTAACTACTCGCTCTTCACATCAGCCATGGGGCGGGGGCGGGCCATACTGAGGCCCCCGGGCTCGCTCACCGTTCCGAAGTCACTGAGTTCCGACGTGGCAGTCACTGGCCAGTGGACCGTTTAGTGAGTCGTTACATGAAACGATCAATCTGTAACGGTTCTTGTCATTGCTTGAGGTGTCACTGCTGTATGGAAGTAGGGGTGGGTCCCTCGCTCACACGGGTACCCTATGAAAGGGGGTAGTCAGAGGGTGTCCTACCCTCTATGGAGACCTTGGCATGTACGGGGTGGGGGGTGATAGTTGACGCTGAAATGGGGGGTGGGGGTGTAAAGCCTCTGGGTGGGCAAAGGCCTTCGGAGTCCATTGAAATTGGCTTACGACTCTCCCAGCTGTATTTCCAGTGGGTGGGGGTGATGACCCCTACCCCTTCAAGTATAGGATTAAGCTGCTATCATTCGAGGGTTGCGAATCGAAACTCATCAGAGGGGGTGATGTGAACTTGGGGGTAGGGGTGGAGGGTCGAAACTCATCAGAGGGGGTGATGTGAACTTGGGGGTAGTGGTGGAGGATCCCTCTGTTATGCTTGAAAGGCACAGGCAGGGCTGGCGAAGCGATGGCGACGTCAGAGCGATAGAAGATGCCGTAGAGAAGAAGAGAGGGAGGAAGAGAAGAGAAAGAGGAGGAAGAGAAGAAGAAGAAGAAAAGTAAGAGAAGGAGAGCAGAAGTGAGGAATGGTGAGACGAAGGGAGACGGAGGGATGGGATGGGAGAGGAAGGGTTGAGTTAAGCACAAGGAAAGTCTTGGCCAGCCAGCCAGCCAGCCAGGCAGGCAGGCAAATAATCATTGATGGAAGTGAGAGGCATTGGCAGGACTAGACTGGTAACCAAAAGATGAGAGCGAGTGAATGGGAAGCTAATCCAAGAGCTGGAGAGTGGACCAAGAGACGAGATACTTGTCTGAACAAGAGTCTGAAGAGAGTTCGACAGTTTCTGTTTGCGTTGATCTATTGACCTTTGATGCTGTGCAGAACAATGACGAATGATCGTCTTACCGTGCACATCAATGAGGCAAAGGGACTCACTTGCGGCTCTCACGGTTCAAACCCAGACTGTGTGCTAAGTCTGCAACTCCTCTCGAAGAACCCCATGCCTGGCCTCAACGTCACCTACGAGACGACCCTCACGCCCAACAGCAGCAACACTGTCGACCCCAAGTTCAACGAGATGTGCTGTCTTGACGTGGCCAATGCTGCTGACTCGCAGCTACAAGTGGTGCTGTGGGACAAGGCAGCCCCTGCCGATGCCGCAAAGGAGCAGACGTTTCTCGGAGAGGTCCTGCTCAATGTCGGAAAGCTTGAGCCGTATGCCGGGAGGGACATCGAGCAGATTTTCGACGTGAGGAAATCAAACTGGGTGGGACCAAACAAGGCGATCTCCGGCAAGCTCTTCCTCAAGTTGAAGTACGACAAGGTGATTCGACTTGAGTCAGAAGTGCGTTTGACTCTGATGGTATGGCAGGGAAATGGGTTGAGAGGCATGACCTTTACTGTCGACAAGGGTGACAACAGTCAGAACGTCGCAAACGATCTGGCAAGCTACGGGGAGCAGTTCAAGAACGAGCTTTGCTCCATCTTCCAGTTGAGCGGAGATCAGATTGAGGTGAGCATGGTAGAACCCAATGACCTCATTGAGAGATCTTTGCGACTAGATGATCGATGTCAAGACCTCTCCTACACCAGGAGTCTTCCAAGTCTGCCTCAACGTCCTTCCGAGCCCTGTACGTGCGACCTCGTTTCTCACTGCTTGTCGCACTTACACGACGTGTAGGAGGGAAGTCAGCGCACCTCTCTGGTCTGACTGCTCGGCCTGATGTTCTTTAGCCTCTCCTCACTCTTTTCCAGCTCATAACCGATGAAATCCTCAACGCCTCCAAAGACAAGTCGAGTCCTCTCGCCTCCAGCTCCGTCATGGCCTCCCTCAAGTCCGTCGCAGCCCACGTGCCGTTCACTGCCAAGACCAAGACCATGACCGAAGACTCTCCGCTTGTCAACGACAGCGTCAGCGTCCAGACATGGCGACCAGTGAGATCTGCTGCACCTGAATCACAACCATCCCCTGTGCCCCCTCCCTCCTCCTTGCCGCTTCCAGTTCCAGCACCTGCGGCAGCCCCACTCTCCCCAGCGGTAGCCTCTCTTCCACTTCCAGTACCCCAAGCATCTCCTGTCCGGTCACCCGCAGCATCTATGCCACTTCCAGTACCATCAGTGGCTACCAACACCATGCAGAAGCCGGCAGGAGTCCAGTCGTCGGCTGCTGCGCAGGGTGAGGGGATCTGCGGTGCTTGCAAGCAGGTTTGCAAAGAACTGACGTTGCCGGGAGCTGACTTGAGCTCCAGCCTTTTGCAAGGCACGGGCGTGTCGATGGGAGGCTGGTGTGCCCGGTGAATCAGCTTGCGCTGAGAGTTTTCAAGATGCTGACGTCACCACAGACCGTGACGTCGGAGTTGAAGCCCAGCTCCGAGGCGATCAAGCCCGCTCCCCAGACTGCAGCCTCCCCAAGCTCCAACGCTCCTCTCGCTCAAGGGTTCCAGGTCCCCGACAGCTTCGCTCACCTCCGCAAGGACATGGAGGTGCTGCAGGCAAACACGCGGACCTTCTCGTCTGAGTCGATCAGTGCCGCCAACTTCATCAAGGACAGATCGGCAGACCTCGACAAGATCGTTTACTCGCAGAACCAGGTTGTATCCTCTCTTATCCAATCGTACCTAAACTCCTCCTCTCTGATTTCCTCCTCTCTGATCTCCTCTTCTCTGGTCGTCTCGTCTCGACCTCCTTTTCTTGCATCGTCCCCTTGTTTCTGCTCCTTCTCCTCCTCTCACATTTCCCGTCCTAACTGCATCTTGTAGGCAGCTAGCAAGGACATAAATCAAACGTACCTTGATGCCATGCAGGCCTTCGAAAGCTTGATGGAGCAGGACAGGAAATTTACCACGAGCATAAGATCCTTCGAGCAGAGTCTTGCAGCCACTAAGAAGACAGAAGTTCCTCCTCCCAGAGTCAACCTCTCTGCTCCAGCTCCAGCTCCAGCTCCAGCTCCAGCTCCAGCTCCAATGCCGGTTTCAGCACCAGTTCTAGCTTCTGGCTCCTTCTTTCCTTTCCAGCAAGATAACGCTTCCTACATGGCGAATTTCGTTCAGATCCCCAGCTACGGGGGCTACCCTGTGAACCAAGCGGACTACGCTGCTCCTGTGAACCAGTTGATGTACGCTGCTCCCATGGACCAAGCGGTCTACGCTGCTCCTGTGAACCAGTTGATGTACGCTGCTCCTGTGGACCAAGCGGTCTTCGCGGCTCCTGTACCCAACGGCGTCGAACTTCATGTGAAGCTGAGGCTGGACGCGAGGAAGGAGACGAACATGGCAGAGTTCATCGGTCTCCTCCTTCAGGACCTCAGCTCCTCTTCCCGCGTCCCCCCGACGGCCTTCCAAGTGCTCGGAATCCTGGACTCGCAGTTGTCGCCGATCATGGAGCAAGTGGTCGTGGGCAGGGAGAGCGTCTACGTGATCCTCTACCTCGCTAACGACGGCTTCTGCGTGCCAGAGCATGTGTGTATGGACCTGAAGCAGCAGATGATCGACCCGGAAAGCCGCCTCCTGAACGGGCATGTGACTAGCCAGTTGCTGTCCATCACGAGCCCGTCAGTGAGAGGTTGAGGATGAGTGAGGTTGACGGTGAAGGGCTGCAACGGGGAGAAAACAACTCAGATCATGTCGTCAAGGCATGCACCTTTGTGACATCTACCAGACTTCATGGTTTGTCTAATTTGTAGTGCCAGTAATAAATACTTTGCATCATCTCTTCCCGTTGGAGTCAAGACGTTCCTGCAGCAGCTTGATGGTCTTCCTCATTGTTTTCATTTGCTCCTCATCAACCTTCACCCTCGACTCGAGGACATCGAACCTGTTGTCTTCCTCCGACCGCAGCACGTACTTGCTCATGTCAGGCCCCTCCTTTGGTTCCTGTTCCTTGCTCTTTGTCACGTGGGGATACGGGAAGCTGTAGGCTCCCTCTGGAGCTGGCACAGGCATCGCGTATGCTCCTGTGTAGCCTGAAGGAGCCGCCGAGGGTCCCATGTAGCCCATCATGTTGATCTGGGTGTGCAATTCGATTCGCCTCTGACTCGCTGCCGCTGACAACGATGAGGAATGGGGAAGGGAGGAGGAGGAGGAGGAGGAGGAGGAGGAGAGAGACGGTAGGGGAGAGACAATGGAAACGATGACGGAGAGGAGGAGGAGGAGGAGGACAAGTGGCGCGGCAAGCTGACGCCATCGATTCGCCTCCGCCATCTTCATCGCTTGCATTGTGTTGCCCCTTCACTTGGTCAGGGCTGCTGGGTGGGTGGTTAGAACGGAAACGGGGGGTAGGGGTGGTACTGCCATTCACTCAGTTGTCCGCCGGCCTCTGAAGCTCCGGGGCCCGACGGTGAGTGACTCAAGTGCCAGGGGTACTCACCCCACCCTGCTTTCTCCATTCAAGTACCCCCCTAAAAGTAGGCACCTTATCACCAAAGACATACCCCCACCCACCTCGCCCCCAGGAATCGCAGGCTTCGAGAAGGCAACAATGCTTGTGCGAGGGTGGTTGCGCCTTGTGGCGATGGTGGCGATGGTGGGCAGTGGGAGAGCGTTTCTTGGAGGAGGAGGAGCTTCCCTGCCCTTCAGTGCGATGATAGGAAAGGGTTCTGAGATGTTGCTTGACAACTGTGGTGAGTTTAGATTGAGTCAGAGACCCTCTTTCCCCTGTCGCCCCTTCCCTACTCTCCTTCTGCTGTATGCGCTGCTTGCTGTTGTTATATGCACTCAACACTTCAAGCTGAATTTTCATCGATATTTTCATCTCGTTCATGCGAATTCTTGTTGAAGCTTACTTTTCAAGCTCGCCGTCCCGAATATTGGGGCTACTACAACTGCCGGTATTTCTTTGAGAGTCCATCGCATTTGTTAATATACTTGCAGATTAAGAGGAGGAGGAAGAAGCTCAAGTCTATCCATGTCCAGTAATGAGCAAAGGAAAGCTGGAAGCCCGAACTGCCTCAGTGCGGTACATCTCTCTTGGCTGTGATGTTAAAGTAAACCTGATATTCCCTGTCAGCTTCCGGGCACCATGGAGAAAGATGACCAGGTCGACTTGCATGCTCATCCCGTTGACTCGTTGATGGCTCGAACCTAGTAGACTCCAAGGACACCTCTCGGGGCTCTTTCTCGCGTCCTCGTCGTCGGAAGCTCAAGGTTTGATCCTTGGTCGAAACATTCTTGATTCAACCTAGAATGCTTCAGGGGCATCGGATTAGAATTCGTCAAGCAACTGCTGGCAAAGGTTTCGTTTCCTTAAGGAGATAGTGGACTTGACAAGAGTGAAAGGAATGCCTTGTGGTTGCAACTTATCGAGGAGAGAGCCCGGGTGAAGAAATGCAAAAGCTCAAGGTAGAGACGTGTAGGCTGCTATGAGTCCATGATTGGTTGTCAAGGCAAAGTATGGAGAGAAACTTGAGCTTTTGCAGCTGGACGTAAGTGTGGAGCACCTGAATGCATGCTCCATCAGTGAATGCGATGGTAGGTCAAGGATGAGAAGAGTGTAGCCAGCGCTGCTGAAGCTCTCAAGGGTGAGAATGTGCCGATGTAACGATGCTCGAGCTTACTCGATCATAGCTCGGTTCAAGGGAAATCCAGAGCTCACGCACATTGTGCACAATGCTGGGATCTATGGGCCTTCAGGGTGAGAATCGTGCTCTGAAGCAGCGAATGTTGATCTGGTTGAAAGAGTTGATTCACTGTCAGATCATTCGATGGCAAGCCTCGCAGCGGTCGGTCTGCAGCGCCTGCTGTCACCAAGGTGAGTGCATCAGAGTGGTCCTGCCCTTGCTGATTCCTGTCAACACTGTGCAGCAATCCATGATGGATGTGTTTGAAGTGAACACGGTCGGTCCTCTGCTAGTTGCACAGTCATTCGTGCCTCTCCTCAAGAAGCCAAAATCACCCCAGGTGCTAGTCCGTTTCTGTTCTTGTCTCTCACTCACCGAGATTGGTTCTAGGATTATCCTATTCTTGCCATCCTCACCAGCAAGGTGTGTGCAGCCCCCTTTCCTTTCCCAGCTGTCCGACTCAGGTCCACAGGTGGGAAGTGTTGATGACAATGGTTCCGGCGGGGCGTACGCGTACAGAGCAAGCAAGAGCGCCTGCAACATAGTGGTTCGATGAGATGAGTCCTTGTTCGTATCAGCCCCAACGTGTTCGCCTGCAGGCCAAGAGCCTCTTCAACGATCTCCGTGACGAGGTTCGTATGCGATGAACTTGCTTCGTAGAAGTGAGACGTGCTTCAGGCCGCGGTCTTCTTGCTGCATCCTGGGTGATCGTCAAAGTTTAGCTGAGTGCTATCATGCTCATGAAAGCCTAGGTATGTAAGAACGGATATGACCAACGGACAAGGGCTGATTAACGCGGACGAGAGCGTGAGTGTTGGTCAGTCTGTGACGAACAAGAGATGAACAATGTCAGGTGTCTGGGATGCTCCGAGCCATTGAAGCGACTGACGGCTCAACTCCTTTCCGTTGGGTAGACTACAAGGTGAGCGAACCAAGCATGATGTCTCTTAGTGACCTCAATCTCTCATCAGGCCTGTCTCATTCCATGGTGAGAGCGAGAGAGCACTGGAACGCTGGTTATGTTCCTGATGTATTGCTGTCACTTGTCATAAAGAAGCCAACGAGATACATAATACATCTGTGAAGAAAGTCACTCCTGACGTTCTCTCGGATTCCAACTCACCGTAAAGAACACCACTACTATCAAACATGCTAGACCAAACGTTGATTTGCTTCCATTGCTGTCAAACATGACCTGATGAAATGACTAAGTTACAATGCACTAATTTCGCACAATGTCAGCTTCACCCCCATCCGATTCAAAGTGGAAGATAAACTATGTCCAAGCAAGTAAGCAAGTCGACCAGTCGAGATCAAATACTCACAGGTTATCTGTCGAGCCCATTCCAGTTTGCATTTGATCCAGAGCCCTTCATTCATTCAGATTCTTTCAGACACGGTGCGAACAAACCTGTTCTGATCATTAACCTCATCCTTGATCGCAATCGTAACCTTGCATCGGTAAAAATCAGCGAGCTCCAGTAGCAAGTTGCAAGACAATCACATTCTTCAGTGTCAGGAGCTTGGAGTGAAGTGTTCCAAGAGCATTCTCATTCTGCTTCTCGATCGCATCGTCTGCTGCTGCTGCTGCTGCTCCACCGCCTGCGCTGCTCCCGCTGCCGCCATGCTGCCGTCGACTCATTGCGCCGACACAAACAGAGGGGTACGAGGGCGATGAGAACATCAGGTGGGGGCAGGGGGTGTGAGGGGTCACTGTTAAATTTATAGGGGTAGGGTCATACAAAAGGAAGGGTATAAGATTTGAAAACGACACTATATTCAGGGGGTGGGTTCTTTGATGGTGGGGGTCCTGTTGGGTGCTAATGTTTCGGGGGGTGGTTACCTTGAGAATGAGGGCGATGATGGGCTGGATGAGCTGGCGTGTTGGGGAGCCTTGAGGTGGCCCCGGTGGGTCTTAAAAAGGGGGTGGGGGTATTTGTATAGGGGTATCTTTTATAGGAAAAATAACATAAAATGAGGGGTACAATTTTCAAATACTTGATTGAATCTTGAAGGGTGGGGTCCGATTGGGTTGCTAGTCAGCGAGTATGAGGGGGATGAGGGTCTGTTCGGTTGACATTTTTTTGGTTCAATGCCGGAGGGGCCGGAGGCGGGGAGGGAGGGGAACGGACGATGGCGAGACGCTGAGGAGGAGCAGAGACATCATGAAGGAGCTGATGAGTGAGGAGTCTTGCTGCACGAGAGTCAGCGGTTGATGAGAAGTGATGGATGACTAGAATGCGTCGAAGGTGGTAACACGGTTCTACACTTGCTGTGGTGCATTTGGTGCAAAATCTGTGGAGGTAGACTAGTGGACAAGGACCCGGTCGATCTCTGTGATCACAGGCATCGATCGCAGCATGACATCCTTAGAGATACAAAGGCGAGAGCAAGAGCTGGATGCTCTGATCAGAATGAAGGGCCTGCAGGACCCGATGGTGCTCCGTGCATGTCAGGAGCTTTGCGAGCATCTGAACGCGGAAGGCCTGAAGCTTCTACACTCTGACTCCCCGGACGAAGCTCTCAAGCTCCTTCGCAAAGCTGAGATCCTAGCGAGCAACGCCAAGGCCGAGTCAGAGATGCACTCACCCGTGGAGGCTGTAACCTACAACAACATCGCCTGCTGCCTCAAGAGAAAGGGAAAGCTGCGATCGGCTCTCCGCTACCTTGAAGTAGCCCGGCAGATCGAAATTGCTTGCGGGGACAGCGCTGCAGACCCTCCAGGGACGATGCTCAACTTGTGCGCGGTCCTGTCAGACCTTGGCAGACACGACGCGGCGCTTTCGCAAGCGCAAGCAGCAGCGGAGTTGCTGCAACACCAGATCGACTTGGCTGACAGTGAGAGCCAGCAGACGGCCAGCAAGAGGAGAGGGAAGGGAAAGAGCGTCAAGATGCAGCTCTCCCTCCTGGCGGTGGCCTATCACAACATCGGGGTTCAGCATGAGCATAGGGGTGACCTGCCAGCGGCGATAGACGCATACTCGGAAGGGATGCTGATCGCAAAGTACGGGGGAGAAGAGAGCGGAAGCTTGCTCGTGAAGCTCAAGCAGTCACATGCAGAAGCCAACAGCCGACTGAAGACGTTGGAAGCCCGTCGGCCTCATCTTCAAAGTTCCTCTAGCGGGTGAGTTGAAGTGAGCAAGTTTTGTCGGTTGTTGACTCAGAGTTTCAGCTCCATGGGCAACTACCCTGACATGTATCATGCCATCTCCGACTTTCGGAAGCAAGGCCGTTCCACCCCAGTCAGTCAAGGGCTCCCTAAGTCCAGCACTGCCAACTCCATCTACGGGGCTCAGGACAAGTGAGGATTGATTGAGTTGAAACCCAAGTTGACTACATCTCCCCACAGAATCAAGAAGTTTCGCCCTCATTCAGCGCCTCTTACTTATGCCAAGAACCCAAGCAAGGCTCCTTCACAAGCTGTTCGTCCTGACTTGACCCTCCAGCCTTGAAGTCACTCGATTGGCAGGTGCGACGGATGACTACGTTGGGGCACGCTGAGGGTACACTGAAGCCCCTCCGACGTATGCTCTTCCTTGCCATGTCTTGTCTTGACTCTAGCCCTCAGAGCTGCGTCCTCACTCTGCCTTGGGGGCGGTGGAGGTCCTGCGGGGAGGAACCGGTCTGCTGTGGGAGACAGGGGGAAAGATGGGAGACATCTTTGAGGAGGTATGGGAGCTGTCAGGTTGATTGCTTGCGATGACTTCGGAGAGTCAGGACGGTGGACATGGAGCCCTTGGAGGGAGGAACTTGATGAAGAGGAGCAAAGGTATCACTCGGCCTTGCCGTCGCTGCAGTCTTATGTGAGGTCGCAACAGGGCAAGAGTGGAGGAGGGGCGGGCAGGAGCTGTCGAAGCCTTTGGATGATGATTTCAAGGTGCTTTGTATTCCTCTTTCTTCCATCCCCTCACTCGTTTCAAGGCGCTCCTCCGTGAATGCGCTCGATCTGCTGGCTTCCTCGACGGCAAACTTCTCATATCGCATGCGAAGGTGTGTTCACTTGCGTCGATCTCTTCCTCCTTCTCCTCCTCTGTTCGCCTCCTCCTTCACACTTTCTCTTCCTCCACATCTCATTCTTGTCGTCCTCTCGTTCCCTGTGTTCTCTCCCTTTCTCGCCTCCTCCTCTGTCGACCTTCACCTCCTCCTCCTGTTCAACTCTGACCACAGAGGCAGCGTGAAGCACATGACTTCTTCAAGCAACGAGTCACAGCTGCAGCGCCTTCCAAGGACGACTTGACTTCGAGCCGTCAGGCCAGGGCAGCAGAGCCGACGGAGAGGATGGGGCCTCGAACTCCGAGGGACGGGAGCGATGCCCCTGCTGACGAGAGGAGGAAGAAGCTGGTCCTTCGACCGCGGCGACGGGTGGAGGCATCGACACAGGATCAAGAGAACCAGGACGAGGAAGAGGAGGTGGTAGAGGATGCCGGGGATGGGGACGAAGAGTTCTCCGCGAGGGGGGAGGAGGACGCGGACGCGGGAGGGGAAGAGGGAGCAGGGGAGGAAGAGGATCTGGTGGAGGCTCTCCTATCCGACCAGCCGCCAAGGGCTGGACGTGAGGAGGTGAGGAGGAAGGCGGCGGAGGAGCACATGATGCAGGGGAAGGGATCAGCTGCGAGGCATCGGCAGGTGCTGAAGATGTCAGACATGTTTCTGAGCGACGATGAGGATGATGAAGATATCGAGTCTCCTCGCTCCTTCCGCAATCGAGTCGGTGCCTTCGATGCTGCCGCCAGCATAGCGGGTGGGGCAGCAGCAGCGAGGAGCTTCGCACGTGGGACCAGGAAGGCGGAGGGAGGGAGCAGACAGCTCCCGTCAGGAGACATATCGTTCAGCTACACGAGCGAGGAGGAGGAGGAGGAGGGAGGGAGGTGAGACATCTCATACAGATACATGAGCGAGGAGCAGGAGAAGG